TCCCAACTTGATTATCAAATAGGTGAAGCCGCAAAAGTTGCACCACCTAACCTTTGGTCATCCATACCATGCACGTCTGGTTCACCTTGGCAGTATATCAATAGACGGAGAGGAGGAGCTGCTTACATGAAAAGATTAGCGCTCCAACTCCGAGAATCGAAACGACTTTTCAAAAGCTTTTCCAAAAGGGCAGAATTAGTTTTGAAACTAGGAGGCACTGTTTCTTTTGAATGGCCACGTCCCTCAACTGGCTGGAAGAGACCAGATGTCGTAGCTTTCTTTAATTCTCACCCTGAGTTTATGGAAGTTGATTTCGATGGTTGTGCAGTAGATCTTAAGTCCAAGAAGGGTGTTCCCATCAAAAAGCCTTGGAGAGTCCGAACCACTTCCCAAAGAGTAGTAGATGTTTTTAAGGATAAAAAGTGCAGTTGTGAACAGCCACATGAAAAGTGCGAAGGTTCGGAAACAGCGCGACCAGCTATGTATCCCCCAGAGATGGCATTCTTGATTACTCAAGCGCTGTACCCTGCTAAGTGTTCCCAACAACATGCTCCCGCAATGCCATGCGCTCCACTTTCAACCGAACCCCAAGAGCACCGCGAAGTTGAACAACATCTTAAACATGTGTCCCCACTAGCTGGTTTTGAGGATCTTGCAGTTGCCATTGAAACAGATCCAACAGTAAGCTGCTTAGTGTCGGAGCTTCTAGACCATGAGCGTTTGTTGTCACAAGCCTTCGGGCATGAAGATAACAATGAACCCTCCAAAGAGGTTCAAGCCATGGTAACTAAGTTGCTTTCTAGGGCCGAGATGTTATCCAACCCCCAAGCCCTTGATGCTGTTAAGGCCGAGACCGATGGACTCATCAAGGCGGGAACGTGGTCACTTGATTCCGTTCGGGAAAAGGAAGATGTACGCGCCGAGGCCAAGCGCACCGGAGTGTCCGTTCATTTCGGGCAACTCATGACGATAGCATCCATTAAGTTCTTTGAACTTGCGCAACACCTACAAAAGATGAAGGGTAGGATCGTCTACCGAGGGGACTGCGCAAAGGATGAACACGGTGCTGCAGCGGTTTACCAGGAGCTAGGGGCAAACCCGACTTCGGTCCAAGGTTTAAATGCCTGTTTAGCATACGGTTCCCTGCCAGGTAATAGCTCATCCGCAGCTGATGCCGTTAAGGCTTACGTTCAAGCACTCCTGTCTTCAAAATATAAGACCTGGATAGAACTCCCGCCTGAGCTAAGACCAAAACATTGGCGAGATAAGTTTGTTAAACCCGTAGTCCTCCTAGTTAAAGCCTTATACGGTCATCCTGATGCCGGTGGCCTTTGGGAGCAGCACCTCAAGAAAATTATCCGCAACCTAGGTGGCCAAGAGGTACCTGAATACCCCGGTAACTTCTTTTTCCCAGATACTAAGTTGTTGCTTTCCACCTATGTAGATGATCTCACGCTTGCTGGTCCAACTGACCAACATGAAGCCTTTTGGGCGAAGCTGACATCCGTTGTGAATATAGAACCACCTGAACCAATATACCGAATTTTAGGTCGCAATCATCTAGTAATGCCATTGCCCAAAACCGAGGGTTCCGAGGAATGTGCTGCGTTTCGCGCACAAGAAGCCTTAGTCTTTGACATGCTAGATTATGCACACCAAACGGTTGACCTTTATAAGTCCATCACCAACACCAAAAGTTTGAAGCATGCTGCAACTCCTTTTGTACCTGATGGTTCTGTCTCTGTTGAAGATGAAGAGGCTAAAGGTGAACTGGCACCAAATGCATGCCGCATTCTTATGAAGGCGTTGTGGCTTGGTCGGCTGTCCAGACCTGACATAATAAAACCCATCAACGATTTAGCCACTAAAGTGCAGTCTTGGTCCAGGGGGGACGATAAGAGGTTGTTAAGACTCATTCAATACATAGACTCTACACCCCAATACCGTCTAGTGGGTACGATCAAAGATAATCCCGAAGATCTTGAGTTACGTTTATACGCTGACGCCGATTTCGCCGGTGATCGTCTTAGTGGAAAATCCACGTCCGGTGGGTATTTAGTTCTATATGGGCCTAACTCCTTCTTCCCTCTTGCGTGGGTCAGCAAACGCCAAACATCCACATCCCGTTCTACCACAGAATCAGAAGTGGTTTCCTTGGCTTATTCCCTTTACCAAGAAGGCCTGCCGGCCCTGCAACTCTGGGAGCTTCTCCTAGGGCGCACCGTGACGCTTAAAGTTTTAGAAGATAACCAAGCTACCATCCTGGTAGTACGTAAAGGTTATTCCCCTAAGCTTAGGCACATCACTCGCACCCATAAAGTAAACTTATCTGGCCTTTCCGAAGTCTTCCGCGAAGACTCAGCCGAACTCGAATACTGTCAAACCGACAGTCAGGCCGCAGATATTTTTACTAAGGCGTTGCCACCCCAAAAGTGGGCCCCGGCACTGCGCTTGCTTGGCATCCGAGTAGATTTAGGTAGTGAGCTGAAACCCAGGGAAGGGGCAGCTTCCTAGCGCCCTAACCTGTACACTAGTTGCCAGCGTAGGATAGGGTAGGGGGGAGTAGAAATATTACGACCCCTATACCACCACTGTATATACTAGTATTAGCTCACTCCACACTGTAGCTATGATTCCAACTTACTAATGATGTTGTACAGTCATCGCAATTCCAACATTCAATGTATATAGCCATGTACATAGTAACGGTAGCATTATCCCCAATCCAGTCGGGTTTAATGCCATAATCCGTAATTACATGGCTCAAGTGCTTAGTATAAAATAAGTGCTTGTGATCTATGGGGCAAGGGAGATTAACTTGTGGTTTTGTGTTTTTCCCCTTGTTTCTCTAACAAAAGCTTATGCTTCCAAAATAGTGGGGCATTCAGAACACCACGATCAGACTCTTCATAAATACCACACATTTTGGTTGGGGATTTCTACATGACTCAGCAAGCAGTGAGGGTTTATTGATCAGCCATTCGAAGGTTGACCTCATCCCTAACAATCGTCAATGGCAGTGGATTGGGGAGGATTTTGCCATCCATTTAAGTGGAACCATTGGGGATTGTTGGGTTTACCACATTGGCCAGCATTTTTTTGGGGGTTGTCTGAAGATTGGTTGCTGCACCCAAAATGGGTTTTCATCAACTTCTCCATTCAAATTGCTACATATTGGTTACTGGGTATATTTTCATAACCTTCGGGCAACCCAAAATATGGTGAGGAACCATATAATGATTTTCATATGCCTATACTCTATTTGGTTACCCTCCAGCAACTTAACTTGGCGATGGACAATCACCCCATTCTTGTTTCTGATCATCCCAATTTCCTTAAAACCCGTTTTTCTTCCAGCCAGCCATGTTAATCTCACTTTTTGGGAAACTGTCGGACCATCATCCCCATAGACTGTGAGTTTTGCATCCCATTCCCAGAGGGAATAGCCCCATCATTGTGATTCTATCCAGTGGCTGGCAGTGGGTAACTGATAGCTTTCTCCAAGTATCACTTGGACCAAGCGCAAAAGCCAAAAATCCAGTGGCTGGGAGGGAGCGAGTTACGGACGGGGTATCCCATTTTCCGTTCGATGGGAGCCAGTGAACTTAGACATAGCCTCCACCCTCTAACAGTAACAGTGGGCAATGAAGGTCCCCAAGAAGAGAGGGAAAAAGAGATGATAGGAAACTGGTGGTCACTGTTGGTGGTCACTGTTGGGCTGTGTCCGAGAGAAGTATTAGAATATATTAGACACATTTTTTTCCCCGGTTCTTTCTGGGTTGTACCGACCAAAAATCAGATAAATTTGGTTAGAAAAAATCAGCATTGCCCAAATCTTTAAGCAGTAGGTCTCCAATAGTTATCCACCTAATATTCCCAACCCTTATGTTTTTTTTCATCATTTTCCTCATCTAAAAAATGGTCACATCAAACGGGGGCATACCTCGTTATCGTCAAACACACCCACCCGAGGCGGCCAAGGTGCCCCCGCACCAGGCCTTGCAGAATGAGGCTAGGTATAGATATGTTGGCTGACTGGCGAGTAAGAATGGTAGTGGTAAAGGACAATGATAATTGCGATGCTTCTAGAATCTTTATGTGCACACATCCACACACACATACACATAATCATATACATATGTATATATATACATAAAAATATGCCTATACGTAGATCATGGATAGTGCGTATGAGTTTTAGTGATATGGACAATGATAAGGACAAGGACAACGAGCATGATTAACATACATCACAGGAAATCATTAGAATAGAGAGAGAGAGATAGAGATAGATAGATAGATCGATAGATAGATAGCTAGCTAGCTAGGTAGGTAGGTAGGTAGGTAGATAGCTAGCTAGCTAGGTAGGTAGGTAGGTAGATAGATAGATAGAATGATAAGCAACACCCAGATAGCCTCTCCATCATTTGGGGCCAAGAATACACCATTCGAAAGCCCAAAAGTACTGCAGGGAGAATTTCGACTCATGGGCGTACCGGTATTCTCTGTAAACAGAATTTGCTGGAGTCGCAGAGTCCGAGATGTAGGGGAAGGCCCCTCATGTTGCGTGGCCCATGAGAGGACGGTTTTTCCATCATTCAGAGTTTTGGTTTATATTGATTAATGGATAATCATGGTTAATAGTGGATGATCACCATTATTAACCACTATTAACCATCTCAAAAATACGTACGCTTTGCCGTACGCATTCGGGGGGTGCGCCAGTTGACTATTTTGGGTATGGTTTATTCCGCTGGTACTAAAATTGTCACCCAGGACCCAAACCCGGCAACGATCATTTTTTGCAATGATAAAAACTGTAACTTGTGTGTTTTTTGGGCAATTTTCATAAGTTTATATAGGGGATATATTCTGGGATATATAGTCCTGTCTATTGATCTTTTATGTTTCATGGCTGAGTTCGCGAGTTTGCCTTTTGGGAAACAAACCACAACGGTGAACAAAACCACTCCCACAACGCCATGTTGGATTCGCCTAAGGCCTGGCCTGCTCCAGTTCCCATCCCGGCCAACTTGCCTAAGACTTCGGACTTGACGGTTTCAAAGCCGGTCTGGGCAACCCATTTGGTGTGCTGGATGACCTTCAAAAAAAAAATGTTTTGATGAATGGATATAAATGGGCTACAGGGCAACCATGATGCATGATATGATTGAAAATTGATTGATATGATCATGGATAGTATGATTCCAATGATAGTCAGACAATCATGATCATCATTGATCATCTATAATATGCCATTGTAATATCCATGGATAATATGATACTTGTTGAGGCCATAAATGATTGTTTTTTAATTGAGGAATCATCCGGAGACATGGGGGATGGGGCAAACACCATCTGGCTTCACCGATGGTCATCTCCGATGTATGATCAATGTACAGAGATCAACCAAGAATGGCCCTTAGATCTCATTTGCGAGGTTTCAAAATCCCTGGTTCCAGTTGGTTGATGACTACTTTTTGAGGCAACAAAAGTTTATGCTTCCAAAATAGTGGGGCATTCAGAACATCACGATCAGATTCTTCATAAATACCAAGCATTTTGGTTGGGGATTTCTACATGACTCAGCAAGCAGTGAGGGTTTATTTATCAGCCATTCGAAGGTTGACCTCATCCCTAACAATCGTCAATGGCAGTGGATTGGGGAGGATTTTGCCATCCATTTAAGTGGTAGCATTGGGGATTCGGGGATTGTTGGGTTTACCGCATTGGCCAGCATTTTTTTGGGGGTTGTCTGAAGATTGGTTGCTGCACCCAAAATGGGCTTTCATCAACTTCTCGATTCAAATTGCTACATATTGGCTACTGGTTATATTTTCATAAATTTTGCATAATCTTCGGGCAACCCAAAATATGGTGAGGAACCATATAATGATTTTCATATGCCTATACTCTATTTGGTTACCCTCCAGCAACTTAACTTGGCGATGGACAATCACCCCGTTCTTGTTGATGATCATCCCAATTTCCTTAAAACCCGTTTTTCTTCCAGCCAGCCATGTTAATCTCACTTTTCGGGAAACTGTCGGACCATCATCCCCATAGACTGTGAGTTTTGCATCCCATTCCTAGAGGGAATAGCCCCATCATTGTGATTCTATCCAGTGACTGGCAGTGGGTAACTGACAGCTTTCTCCAAGTATCACTTGGACCAAACGCAAAAGCCAAAAATCCAGTGGCTGGGAGGGAGCGAGTTACGGACGGGGTATCCCATTTTCCGTTCGATGGGAGCCAGTGAACTAAGACATAGCCTCCACCCTCTAACAGTGGGAAATGAAGGTCCCCAAGAAGAGAGGAAAAAAGAGATGATAGGAAACTGGTGGTCACTGTTGGTGGTCACTGTTGGTGGTCACTGTTGGGCTGTGTCCGAGAGAAGTATTAGAATATATTGGATTTTTTTCCGCCGTTCTTTCTGGGTTGTACCGACCAAAAATCAGATAAATTTGGTTAGATAAATCAGCATTGCCCAAATCTTTAAGCAGTAGGTCTCCAATAGTTATCTAAGTATCTAATATTCCCAACTCTTCCAATTCATAGTGTGCATATGTTTTTTTTTTCCCATCATTTTCCTCATCTAAAAAATTGTCACATCAAACGGGGGCATACCTCGTTATCCTCAAACACACCCACCCGAGGCGGCCAAGGTGCCCCCGCACCAGGCCTTGCAGAATGAGGCTGGGTATAGATATGTTGGCTGACTGGAGGGTAAGAATGGTAGTGGTAAAGGACAATGATAATGGCGATGCTTCTAGAACATTTTTTTTTGGAACGCACATAAATAAACGAACAAACAAATAAATAAATGAATAAATAAAGAAGTATATATATATACATATATACATAGAGATATGCCTATACGTAGATCATGGATAGTGCGTATGAGTTTGAGTGATATGGACAATGATAAGGACAAGGGCAACGAGCATGATTAACATACATCACAAGAAATCATTAGAATAGAGATAGACAGATAGATTAGATTAGATTAGATCAGATCAGATCAGATCGATAGATCGATAGATCGATAGATCGATAGATCGATAGATCGATAGATCGATAGATAGATAGATAGATAAGCAACACCCAGATAGCATCTCCATCATTTGGGGCCAAGAATAAACCATTCGAAAGCCCAAAAGTACTGCAGGGAGAATTTCGACTGGAGTCCGCAGAGGCCATTTTGTACACCTGAAATGAGTGTCAGATGTAGGGGAGGGCCCCTGATGTTGCGTGATGGCCATGAGAGGACGGTTTTTCCATCATTCAGATTTTGGATTTACCCTCTGGGTATTTAACATAGCCATGGAAAATCACAATTTTTAATAGGTAAACCATCTATACATGGGCCATTTCCCATGGCTATGTTAAATAACCAGAGGGTGCATTGCCGTCATTCGGGGGGGTGCGCCATTTGACTATCGGTATGGTTTCTCCCGCTGGCACTGAAATTTCCATCCAGGATCCGAACCCGGCAACGATCATGTTTTGCAACGATCAAACTGTAACTTGTGGGAATGTTCTGTTTTTTCAATCCAACAAGTTGAATATCTGATGACATATCTAACATAACTTTTCATATCTAAATAACAATTTTCAATATATCTTTCGATCTTTTATGTTTCATGGCTGAGTTCGCGAGTTCACTTTTTTGGGAAACAAACCACAACATTTGCTCCCGACTTTAGGCGTCAGCTGCCACCGCTGGTACCACAGGGAAAGTTCCCTTTCGGCATTGGGGCAGGTGATGTCAATGACGCAGCTGTGAAATTGAAACGATAGGTAACTTGTCGATTGGGGTAGCCATTCCCACGAATAAGGGTGAGTTGGTAGTGTTTTAAAATGAGACACTTGGCACTTGGGAGTAGGGCTCATGAATTCAAGCATCAAGATGGATGGTTGGTAGCTACAGGGCTGCACTGGTCACTAGACCAGTCGGAAGGTACTTGGAGGAACATTCCGATTGGTTGCCAGCTTTGCATGGGACAGTTCCCTTAGAGAATATGTTAGATGTTGGGTATGGTCTAGACCCTTCAAGCACGGATGATGATCTGCTTCAGAAACAAAGCAAGGAGATAGGGTCAAAGCTGACACAAACGGGGATTTTAATCAGCAAGGGTCTTGATTGAGTTGACCCATTCTGGAGTTGTAGAATGTGCCCCAATTTCGTCCAAATTCCATCATTTCCAAAAAGTCAACTTCTTAAAGTGGTCAAAAATGATTGAATCGTTTGCCCAGGCTGTGGCGACACTCCTAGCAACGACGGCCAAGGGAGCTCCCCCCAAGGCGGGGCTATGAGGGATTCACCCATACCATCACGACTTGCCATACATGGCCGGTAGAAATCACCTTCATATGGTGTTTTCTTTGCCTTAAAGAGTGGGTTTACCACAATGACTGTTTTCTGCATGAAAGGTCCCAATTCACAGTGACAGCAAGAGACTCCAAGAAGATTTGTTGGCGCGTCAAGCTTGGTAAATAGAGCCATCAACTAAAGTTGAACATGAAACGCAACCAACAAGAGTAACTCTGCAGATGGATCCCCATTGATATGACCCAGCTTTTTGACCCCCATATGGGTCCCTCCTTTAAGTTCCTCCCTTTCCGCTGGTGGTTCGGGGGCTTTTGGTCAGGCGCCTATGATGACCTCCCAGGCGCCGGGCCTAGTTGGTGGTGGGTTTTCAAGCAGCCCCAGATTCGGAGCTTCATCGCAGTAATTTTATTACACGGCATAGTGATAATGTTATGTTTTAAGGTTATGGTATGTTATGTTATGTTATGTTTTACCCTGTTTAAAGTACAAAATCCAGTTCTTTTGGAGTTGGCAGATGAAATGACAGTATTTGGCGGAAAAAGGACGTATCTATTTTACGATCCAGTTACATGGTCAATCGAGTTTCCTATTGTCTACAGAAATGGGGTGACATCCAGGCGCCGCTGCCTCCGCCTCCAAAGGCGCAGGCGTGTGGCTATCGCTATGCATAAGGTATGGCAGTATGGCATATGTCTTAATATTTAAAGGATCACCGAATATCATATACATATGTATAAAGGTATGGACATGGATATGTCAATTTACATGTACATGCATATACATGAAAAAATAAACAAATAAATAAATATGAATATGAATATAAATGAAAATATTCACAAATAAACACAAATAAATACAAATATACACAACATTCTACAAATATATACAAAAATAAATCTATATATCTAAATCTGAATCGAAATCTAAGCCTAAATCTAAATCTAATTCTAATTCTAAATATACATACATACATACGTACGTACGTACGTACGTACATACATACATACATACATACACGCATACTCGCATACTCGCATACACGCATACACGCATACACGCATACACGCATACACGCTACACGCATACACGCATACACGCACACTCGCATACTCGCATACACGCATACACGCATACACGCATACACGCATACACGCATACACGCATGCACGCATGCACGCATGCACGCATGCACGCATGCACGCATGCACGCATGCACGCATGCACGCATGCACGCATGCACGCATGCACGCATGCACGCATGCATATGCAAATACACATACACACACATACATGCATGCATACATACACACACTTGAAAGACCGTATCTCGTCTATGAGTCTTTTGATTCCCGATAGGGTATCTGAACTGAGTTCAGAAAGGCCGTCTTTGTCCACTTTGGACAAAAGTCGCAGAAATTGGTAAAAACTGAAAAAACTGAAAAATGCGTAACGGACTCCGATTTCTCGAATTATTCATGCATATGACAAAAGACTAACCGAAAATGCATCAACAAGCTTGAATAATGAGAAAACATCATGACCAACTGCAGGTACGTCAGGGTGATCAGCCCTGATATCCCATCCAAGACCGTAGCTTCGTTGCACACGGTGGGTCAAGGATGCCGTGTGCCCCTGCTTGTAAATTGGGAACTGTAACTAAAAATTGGACATGTGATAAAAGCCCTTCGGAACAGGGGTTGCCCCCACACACAAAGGCCGTATGTCGCGAAAATATATCACCCGTTGCTTTCAGCAACTGTGATCTTGAAAAAACTGTTCCCGCGAACTTCAAAATGATTCCATGGCGAAAGTCTGAGAAACGAATAAGGAAGGCATTACAAAAATGAGCCCACATAGAGGCAAGAAATGTAATGAGAAAAATGCAATGACAAAAATGCACGTCCATGAAGAAAACGGACAGCAACAATACTTACTTGCGCTGGTTGAGTGCTTGATCGACGTCAGGTTGGGAAAAAACCTTTCTGTACATATAAGGCACCCAGCTGCGTCAAGCTACTGGAAATTAAACTGGTGGATACGTGTATTTTCGAATTAAATGAGCCCGGCTTTTCAATCCACTCATTCTGAGTCGGAGTGACCCCTGCCTGTAAATTGGGAACTGAAACTAAAAATTGGACATGTGAAGAAAGCCCTTCGGAACAGGGGTTGCCCCCACACACAAAGGCCGTATGTCGCCAAAACATAGCATCCGTTGCTTTCAGCAACGGTGATCTTGAAAAAACTGGTCCCGCAAACTCCAAAGTGATTTCATGGCGAAAGTCTGAGAAACGAATCAGGAAGGCATTACAAAAATGAGCCAACATAGAGGCAAGAAATGTAATGACAAAATTGCAAGTCCATGAAGATATCGGGGGCAAAACGGACAGCAGCAATATTTACTTGCGCTGGTTAAGTGCTTGATCGACGTCAGGTTTGGAAAAACCTTTTCTGTACATAGAAGACGCCCAGCTGCGTCAAGCTACTGGAAATCAAACTGGTCGGATACGTGTATTTTTGAATTAAATGAGCCGGGCTTTTCAATCCCCTCATTCTGAGTCGGAGTGATCCCGCAGAGACGTAATCTCTAATCTGACATATGTCAGGTTGAAGATATTCAACAGTGCGTCTTTCAACGGATTATTCGAATTAGATGAGCCCGGGTTTTTGAGTCCACTCATTCTGAGACGGGCAGATCCCGCGGATACACAATCTCGAATTTGGTGCACATCCGGTACTGACTCCAGGTCAGAATCACAAGTGCAGGCAAAAAGCGACAGGTTCACAGGTGGTCAAAACACCTCGGATACCGGGTGACCCCCCACTTGAAAGCCGTTTTGTCGCAAACCATCATCATCGTAACGTGCTGTTTCATCTGGTTGAAAAATACGGTAAGTGGATAAAACGTCGGATCGATTAAAACTTTTCTGTACATATGCTAATGCGAAAAGGCTGTGATTAAAAATCCGGTGGAGACTTGGACTATGAAAAAATGCGAAACAAGCTTGCACAACGAGGAAAAAGGCAGGGCCAGACACTCAATGTGTGAGAGGCAGGATGAGAACGCAATGAAAAACAAGTTCCAGTTCAACTGGACTGCCACTAAAGTCCAAGCCTGTAAAGACTTGAGAAACGGAGGTCTGAAGGTGGTCTTTTCTGTACAATGGGAAACCTATTGTCGAATTATCAACGTATCTGACTACAAGATGATCGAAACAAGGTTGAGTCAAAATTTGAAACGTACTGCTCCACGACCGTTGGTTGTGGTCATGGCCAAATTCGACAGTGTGAAAGATGTCTGACTTCCGACTCCTACACTTCTAATCTGACGCAAAATCCAAATCAATGCGGAACAAGCTAGCATAATGGAGAAATCGCAATAGCGAGACATGTCAATGTCTGAAGATGGAAATCCTGTCTGTACATACAGCGGCGCTAATTCATGCAAAAAGTTCGGGTTTGTGACTACGAGTATTGAATTAACTGAGCACGACTTTTGAGCCCGATGCACCATGAGAATGCAAGGAAAACATAGGAAAACAAGTTCCAGTTCAGCTGGACTGCCACTAAAATCCAAGTCTGTAAAGACTTGAGAAACGGAGGTCTGAAGGTGGTCTCTGCTGTACAAGGAGAAACCTATTGTCGGCGTATCGACGCAGCTGACTACAAGATGTTCGAAACAAGGTTGAATGAAAATTTCGAAACGTACTGCTCCACGATCGTTCATTGTGGTCACGGCCAAATATTACAGTGTCAAAGAGGTCTAACTTCCGAGTCCTGCACTTCTAATCTGACGGAAATTCAAATCAGTGCGTAGCTAGCTTTCAAAATGGAGAAATGGCAAGGGCCAGGCACTGTCAATGTCTGAAGATGGAAATACTGTCTGTACATACAGCGGCGCTAATTTATGCAAAGAAATTCGGGTTTGTGACTACGAGTATTGAATTAAATGAGCAGGACTTTTGAGCCCGATGCACAATGAGAATGCAAGGAAAACAAGTTCCAGTTCAACTGGACTGCCACTAAAGTCCAAGTCTGTAAAGACTTGACAAACGGAGGTCTGAAGGTGGTCTTTTCTGTGCAATGAGAAACTTATTGTCGACGTATCAAAGTATCAGACTACACTACTCGAAGATCAAAACAAGGTTGAAACATTTTGGTTTTGAAAGGTAATGCTACACGATTGTTCAATGTGGCCACTGCCAAATTTGACAGTGTCAAAGATGTCTGACTTCCGATTCTTTCACTTCGGATCTGACGCCAAACGTTTCGGCAGGCTTTGCCACATGAGTGTGAAACAAGCTTGTATAATAGGGAAAAGTCAAACATTTCTGCAGGCTTTGCCACATGAATGTGAAACAAGCTTGTAAAATGAGGAAATGGCAGGGCCAAACACTGTCAATGTCTGAAGAATGAATTCTTGTCTGTACACACAGCTGCGCTAACTCATGCAAAGAAGTTCGGGTTTGTGACTACGAGTATTGAATTAAATGAGCATGGCTTTTTGAGCCCGCTCAAAGCAAGACGGAAGGTTCCGGCGGATACAGTGTCTCAAATCTGATGCCTGGCAGTGTGGACATCAGTGTTTGTTCAAGAATTGTAACAAATAAAAGTCCAAGTCTGTCAAGAATTGAAATTCTTGAGAAATCTAACGCAAATTCCAAATCAGTGCGATACAAGCTTGCACAATGGAGAAATCGCAATAGCGAGACATGTCAATGTCTGAAGATGGAAATCCTGTCTGTACATACAGCGGTGCTAATTCATGCAAAAAGTTCGGGTTTGTGACTACGAGTATTGAATTAACTGAGCACGACTTTTGAGCCCGATGCACCATGAGAATGCAAGGAAAACATAGGAAAACAAGTTCCAGTTCAACTGGACTGCCACTAAGGTCCAAGTCTGTAAAGACTTGAGAAGCGGAGGTCTGAAGGTGGTCTCTGCTGTGCAATGAGAAACCTATTGTCGCCGTTTCGACGCAGCTGAAGATGTTCGAAACAAGGTTGAATGAAAATTTCGAAACGTACTGCTCCACGATCGTTCATTGTGGTCACGGCCAAATATTACAGTGTCAAAGAGGTCTAACTTCCGAGTCCTGCACTTCTAATCTGACGGAAATTCAAATCAGTGCGTAACTAGCTTTCAAAATGGAGAAATGGCAGGGCCATACACTGTCAATGTCTGAAGAATGAATTCTTGTCTGTACATGCAGCGGTGCTAATTCATGCAAAGACTTTGGGGTTGGTGACTACGGGTACGTGTGTTGAATTAAATGAGCACGACTTTTGAGCCTGCTCAAGAAAATCGGTCGACAAGATCGAAGTGAGGATCTGAGCCATTATGGCATTCAGTCCAATGACAAGTTTAATTCAATATCGAATGAAAAATCAAGCTGCGAATGAAATTCAAAAAACCTGACCGGAGCTTGGGTATCCGATCGCCAAGCAATGCCTGTCAAATAGTGACAGTGGGTGTTTATCACCCACATGCGGCCACGTTTGTGATGCACGCATCCTTGCGAATTCGGGCCACGGGTGAGGTCAATGCACTCACCCTCTCCTCCATTGTGCACAGTTTTGCCTGTGCCCCAGGCTAGGCCCACAAATATGTCACCGCATTCGTTCTTGCTGAGATTCGTCCCATTGTGCAAGATACGACCTAATTCAGCCTGTGCCAGTAGCTGGGCTACATGTTGCAAAAAGGCTTCAGAAGTGGGATGCTCCTTGACTTGTTGATTCAAAAGGATTTCAAACAAGGAATACTCATGATCATTTAGCGGGACATGGCCTGACGGCGTGCTCGGAATCGAAAACGCATTAAAAGGAGCACTGCCTAAAGGCGTACTCAAAGATGTATTCGGAGCACTACGAACGGTCTGTGGCACCACCGGACGGAATGGCGGTGGCGGCGGCGGAGGTCTTTCTTAAAATTGGCCGCTTTGACCGTAAATATCAAATACTCCAAGTGAAGTTCCCCAATTCCCTGGTGGGTATGGATGATGGGCTTGCTGTAAAGAGCGAGCCTCTGATCGAACTTCACTGACACTAGGTCCTAGGGACCGAGATCGTGCACGGCTATCGGATCTAGATCTCGTTTGACGAGGTCTACGGGATCGAGAAGATCTGGATCTCAGTGGTGGAGGCTGTAAAGGTGTCAAACTTCTCGGTGCGGCTGGTGGTCTACCGATTTTCTGTACACCTGCAAGGACTACAGACATTGGTCCCGGTGGTCTTCTAGGGGGGTCGAAGCGTGCAGTACCATCTGTAATTGGCAGCGCAGGTCGGACCTCACTTTTGGGTCTCGACGTCGAAACCACGGCAGCCGGTGCTCGAGGCGGTGGTGCTTTTGCCGCCTGACGGCTGTAGTCCTGTGCAATGAAATACACATTGTATGACATGGCTGCAACTCTACGTGACGAAAATGGAAAATGGAAAATGGAAAACCATGCCCACATACCATTAAAAAGTCAACTGTACAAGTAACTACGTATGTTACGTTTTTTAATGTCTGGCTTCCTGAATGAACATGAAAAACATGAAAAACATGTCCGTTGAGCCAGAATGTCTGTACAGAAAACGAAAGCTGAGGTACTGTGAAAACACTGCATCGAAACTCTCACGGATCCGTCCTACGAGTAAATCGAAATGTTCTATTGCTGGTTCTTCTGTTTTGTTCCTTTTGTTCTTTTTTGTTCTTTTTTGGCCTTTTGTTTGGCGACTCATAGTTGTTTCAGAGGAGGGCCCGAAAGCCTTTGTTCAGGAATAACCCTGAATGTTCAGAGTAAATCAGAGTGAATCAGAGTAATTCAGAGGCACAAAGTGCAATCAGAGATTTTCAGAGATTTTTCAGAGATTCTTCAACGCCTGAGAAAACATGCACGACAATTTCCATGGAAATCTTCGATTTCCGTTGGAAAGTGGAACTCCGTAACACGAATTACTCATCTCGAGGGGACGGAAAGGAAAATTAGTCCCAAATCATATCGGATACGGTTCAAAGAAATACCGATGGCTACGATTCATGGTCAAAACGACCCAGTGGTATTGCCTTGTTGTTTTTCTCTGGACAAGGACCAGACATACCCCCGTTTTTTTGGTGGTGAAAAAAGTTGAGGGCCGAAGCCAAATCAGAAGGATACTGTTCACACGCCGGCAGTTACCGGATCACGACAGGACCATGACGGAATCTCTGCCGAAAACACACTTGAAAGACCGTATCTCGTCTATGAGTCTTTTGATTCCCGATAGGGTATCTGAACTGAGTTCAGAAAGGCCGTCTTTGTCCACTTTGGACAAAAGTCGCAGAAATTGGTAAAAACTGAAAAAACTGAAAAATGCGTAACGGACTCCGATTTCTCGAATTATTCATGCATATGACAAAAGACTAACCGAAAATGCATCAACAAGCTTGAATAATGAGAAAACATCATGACCAACTGCAGGTACGTCAGGGTGATCAGCCCTGATATCCCATCCAAGACCGTAGCTTCGTTGCACACGGTGGGTCAAGGATGCCGTGTGCCCCTGCTTGTAAATTGGGAACTGTAACTAAAAATTGGACATGTGATAAAAGCCCTTCGGAACAGGGGTTGCCCCCCCACACACACACACACATATATATATATATATACACATGCATACATTACATTACATTACGTCACATTACACTACATTACATTACATCACATTACATTACAGTCAGTACATTTACATTACATTTACATTACATTACATTTACATTACATTTACATTACATTTACATTACATTTACATTACATTTACATTACATTTACATTACATTTGCATTACATTTACATTACATTTACATTACATTTACATCACATTTACAATACATTTACATTACATTTACATTACATTTACATTACATTTACATTACATTTACATTAAATTTACATTACATTTACATTACATTTACATTAAATTTACATTACATTTACATTACATTTACATTACATTTACATTACATTTACATTACATTTACATTACATTTACATTACATGTACATTACATTTACAATACATTTACATTACATTTACATTACATTTACATTACATTTACATTACACTTACATTACATTTACATTACATTTACATCTACATTAGATTTACATTACATTTACATTAGATTTACATTAGATTTACATTACATTTACATTCATTTACATTACATTTACATTACATTTACATTACATTTACATTACATTTACATTACATTTACATTACATTTACATTACATTTACATTACATTACATTTACATTGCATCACATTTACATTACATTACATTACATTACATTTACATTACATTGCATTTACATTTACATTGCATTTACATTACATTACGTTTACATTACATTACATTTACATTACATTTACATTACATTTACATTACATTTACATTACATTACATTTACATTACATTTACATTACATTTACATTACATTTACATTACATTTACATTACATTTACATTACATTTACATTACATTTACATTGACATTTACATTACATTGACATTTACATTACATT